GTGCGAACAAAAGAGAAGAATTTGGGGAGGTTGAGGCCCAAGTCCTGCTTGACTCTTCTCCCCTTGCCATCCCTAGGCATCTCCAGGACTGCTGGCAGCTGCCTTACAGCAGAGCCAGGAGCTGGCAAGTAAGATCCTCTCTCTCCCTCCTCGCTCCACCCTCCCTGGGCCAGCCCCATCTGAGGTAGCCCCATCTGAACCTTCCCATCCTCTCTCCTTGCCAGAGTTGGGTACTGGCTTTGCCCAAAAAGGTTTCTACCATGAGGCCGTGGTCTTCTTCACCCAGGCCTTGAAGCTCAACCCCCGGGACCACAGGTAGGTGGGGGCTTGGCCACTGTGCTGGGAGGTCGGGGCAAGGCAAGGTGTTGACCTGGACTGTTGGTCACTTTGTCTTCATCAGGTTATTTGGAAATCGCTCTTTCTGCCATGAGAGGCTGGGTCAGCCGGCGTGGGCCCTGGCTGATGCTCAGGTGGCCCTTACCCTGCGGCCTGGCTGGCCCCGGGGCCTCTTCCGCCTGGGCAAGGCCTTGATGGGACTGCAGGTACTCGGTCCAACATTGGATGCAGAGGAGGACTTTGGGTGGGATGGGGGGGATTGGGTTGACATTGACATTTTCTAGGTAAGCTCAATGTCACAATGTCAGTGATATTAGGAGCTGGGGGCCAGTTGAAGAAAGGGGGCACTTTTAAGTTCCTTGACCACTCCCCCCCCCCCCCCCCCCCCCCCCCGCCAGTACCTAAACTTTCCTCTTTCTAATCTGGGACCAAAGCGTTTCGAGGAGGCAGCTGCTGTGTTCCAGGAGACTCTGAGAGGTGGGTCCCAGCCGGATGCCGCGCGGGAGCTCCACACTTGTCTTCTGCAGCTGGCTGTGGTAAGGGGGCCCGCGTGCTCTTGCTGAGGGGCAGCAGGGAGAATTGGCTGTGATTGCAACACCAAGCGGTGCTACCTTCTGCCTCAGTGGGGCAGGGGCGGGGCAGAATGAGTGGGATGAGGGGCAGGAGCTGTGCTGCAAGGAGTATATCAGGTGCCCCTCCCTTTCCCTTCTCAGCAGGATCAGCCAAGAGGATACCGTGCACCACCTCCGCCAACTGGGTTCCCCCAGCCATTTCCCCACACTGAGCCTGTGGCCTCGGGCCTTCTCTCCCTCAGTCATCCTCCAAGCACTGCTCCAAGGGCCCCTGGCCTTCTGTCTCCACCCTTGCACTATCCACCTCCTCACCTTAGCCTCTCTAACCAGCCCCACCCCCAGGCTCAGAGTAGAAGACCTCCTCTCCATCTCCAGAACCCCTCAAAGGGCTGGGGCACCCTGGGACTTGGGCCCCAGCATCTACCTCAGGCCAGATGAGGGAAGACCTGTCCCTCATAGGACAAGGCCATGGTTATATCCCACAAGGATGAGGGACACTGTGTGGTGGCTGTTCCCTGAATATTTTGAGACCTTGTACCTCAAAACCATAGTTAAAGAGACACCCCTGATAGTCATTCCTCTTGCCACAGAGACCTTCTGATGAGAGAAGGAGGCCCCATGACCACTAAAACAGCCCATCTTTTGCTCTCAAGCAGATGGCTTCTTCTGGGCAATAAGGAAAAATAAAACCCACCAAGGCTCAAGAAGGGAACCTTACAAGTACAAAAGTTCAGGTGTTAAGACTATAGGGGGCATTTGAGGCTTGCTCTGCTCCTGGCCCTGGGGAACTCATTTGCTAGCCACAGCTCTGTGCCTGGGAATGGGGTCATAGTGATGAATAAGGCTGAGTCCTGCCCTTCACCTTGTGGGTGCTCACCTCATCTTAATCCTAGTCCTTGCCCTGTTTTCTCCAGCTCCAGCCCCTCATGACTTGTTTCCTGCCCATATTTTTGTGCACATGTGACCTGTCCTTTGCCCAATGGTCTGATGCTCACTTCCTCTGACTGCTAGAAGATTCACCAAGGGTTTGTTTGCCTTTGGGAATTCCCTTACCCAGTTCCTGCCTGGAGCTGGCAGAGCCCATACAGCTCCACACTTCCCTCTGCTGGCTCTCCTGCTGATGTGCTATCCTTGCCATGTTCTTCACTTCAGCACTAGGCATTGTAACTAGTCTTTACCTGCGTGCATTTACTCAGTTTTCCCACCAAGGGTCGCTGCCCCAAGAGATGGATATAAGTCTCTACTTCCTATGTAAGAATCAGGAGTTCTTTTTGGTTTCTTTGATTCTGGCAGCTGCCCCTGGCTTGTTCCTACCTAGTCTTGCCTGGGACTCTCAACTCATTTAAATGTGGATCTTCAGGGGATTTTTAGGCCTCCCAGAATGCCCTCCCAAGAGGTACCATTCATCGGGATAAGTGATTCCTGCTGCCTTATATGGGTCTTGCTCAATACTATTCATACCTAGAGATAGGAGGTGCTGAAACTGTATAGTAGGATAAAATCTGCCATTATTAGTTGGGTCACCTTGGACAGGTCTCTCAACATCTGTGCCTCAGTTCCCTCATCTATAAAATGGGTGCAATCCCTACCTCACAGGGCTGTTGTGAGGACTGAAAGAGAAAGTGAGAAAATATCTACCAAGTGCCTGGTACATAGTGACTGTTAAATAAACCAATTTTTATCTGCAACTGTCCTACATATTCATGATTCCCATGGTGGGAAGAGAGGAGTATGAGTGAATTGCTGCTTATTTCACAAAATACAGAGTTCCTGGGATGGTGGTTCTCACAAAGAGTGGTTCCTGGACTAGCAGCATCAGTGTCACCTGGGAACTTGTTACAAATGCAAGTTCTCAGGCCCACCAGAGACCTTCCAAATCGGAATCTGCAGAGCAGGAGCCCAGCAGTTTGTGTTTCAGTGGTCCTCCAGGTGATCCGGATGTGCCCATCCAGAGGCCCTTTTGAAGGACAGGTTTGAGTTTTGTTTGTTCAAGGCTTGATGATAAGAGATGGCAGCGCTGGGCTAGAATTTAGGAAACCTCAAGTGGAGGAGGGTTATGGCTCAGAACCAACGAACTTGACTGGCCCCTACCTTCCTAAGTAGAATTATTTGCCCTGGAAGTTCTTTGCTTATGCCTGGTTGGGGCGTGGTGTTGGGGAGAAGAGGTTATTGTTTTAAGGGATGACTCCACCAGAGCCCTGCCCATCTAGCCTTGTTCTGGGAGGTAATTCTCTGCTTTGGGGACTCCACTGAGGCTCCTGGCGTCTCTAAGAATAGCTGATTACCACTACTATGTGGTATCTTTGCTTTCCGGCTGAGCTGGCTCCTTGCTCTTCCAGCCTCTCAAAGACATGTTCCCTCTTATCCTATACTTGAATCTTCTCCGAGAGCCACAGGACTCCTGACATTTTGTCCCCATACTCATGCTGTTAACCAGTAGGGTTGTGACAAAGCAGCCTGAGTTCTGAGCCCCCAGGGCTGGAAAGCAGAGCGCTAATCCATCCTGATTTTCCTGGGACTGAGGGGTTCCCTAGGGTGTGGGGCTTTCAGTGCTAAAACTGGGAAGGAAGTCCGGTTACACAGGAATAAGTTGGTCACCCTACTCTAAAGGTTCCAGAGAGGCCTTTAGAAGGGGAAAAAGGAGATAAGCAAGGGCCTTGAACATGAACCAGGGTGTGTGTGTGTGTGTGTGTGTGTGTGTGTGTGTGTGTGTATTGAAGGGACAACACAGTTACAAAGAATACTTTTTATATATAATGGCTGACAGATTCGTAGCTCTCTCCTAGTTATCATTGTCTGTTTATGTCCATGATGCCATTTTCCAGTTGCCTAGGTTTGCAAGGTTGTCACTGACTCATGCAATTTTTCGTCACTGGGAGAATCACACTGTTTCATCTTTTCTGACAACCTCCGTCTTTCCCCACTCCAAGTCTGGCCCTGAATTCTCACTGCTCTTACCTTTTACAGTAGCCAGAAATACACTACTTCTTCGGTCTCTGTCCACCCGAAACACTGCTCTCAAGCCTCTCCTCCAAAACCCCCAAGGACCAGGTTCTGTTTACAGTGCAATGCCTTCATTTCTACCCTTACCCCCCCCCCCCCAATCTCTTTTCTTTCAGTTAGGCCCAGTCACACTTACAGGGACAGAACCTAACGTGGCCAACATGAGCTATGAGTCAGACAAGCAGTGAGTCCCAGCCCCACCATTTAGAAGCTTCATGACATGACCAGGTTCCCTTGGGCTTCTGTGATCCATCCAGTTTCCTTATCCTTAAAATGAAATTAAAGCCTCATTATCTCCTGGGGTTATTGTGAAGATTAATCTTTGCAAGGCACCTGGAACTGCTCAGTGAGTGGGCCAGGTTCCCTCTGCCTTCCAGCCTTGTTCCCTCTCCCTGAAATATCCTCTCCTGGGATCTCCCCTGCAACTGAAACCCCAGCTGAGCCTCCTGAACCCTTGCGAGTGAGCCTGTGGTTCCTGGGCAGATGCATGGGAAGATCTGACAAGGGACTGACTGGGAGGGGGGGGAAGCAGGAAAGACACCCAAGCATCCTCTTCCGCTGATTATCTGGGAGGGACGTGCATAGACGAAGGTCTGTAGCTACTGAGTGCCCCTCTTCCCTCCCCATCACACTGCACCAGGGTGATTAGTCACCAGTGGGATACATTAATCTCAGAAAAGCCTGCCAGTGAAGGTAGGCTGGGGTCTCCACCCCGCAAGGCGGTTACCCCAACCTCCGCCTCGGTGGGCGGGGCCACCCCACCCTGTCGCCACCGCCTCTGCCATCCTAGTGGGAACATTTTCCGCCCCAGAGTGGAGTGGAGGTCCCGGAAGTAGGGGTGCCCCCCTCCCCCACCTCAGCTTGCATCACTTGTGACTCAGCGTAGGGTTCTTTCAGGTGGGGTGGGGAGAAGGGGCGGGGCTCCATTGACAAATGGCCTCGGGTGGGAAAAGAAAGTCAGAAAAACGTCCTCAATTTGGGGCCCGGCTTGAGGCTAGGGGCAAGGTCTCAGAGGTTTCGGGGGATCAAAGCGCGGGGAACTGCGACCCAGGCAGCTCGTAGGGGGGGTCCTCCCGCAGCTACGGGAGTTCATCCCCCTGCGCAGCCCCGAGTCTCCTGAGCTCTGAAGGCCGGCGAGATGCCAGGGGCCAGTCCCCACCAGGGGCTCTTCCTTTGTACAATGGCCACAATCAGATCACCTACCTTGTAGGGTTGCTTGCCATGAGGGTTAAAGAAAACGGCTCCGCACATGCCAAGCAAGGAATACCCGAAATAACCAGCAGATTTTGCTCTCGCCGCTCGGGGCGGGATTGAGGCGGGGCGCAATGGAGTCTCCTCTTTATTCTCAATAACTAGGAAAGGTGGGCGTCTGCACTGTGAGCCGGAAGAGGCTGAGGTCGACAGCCACCCTCCATCCGCACCCCGGACCGGGTGCGGGGTGCAGGGGCGAGAGGGCTAGAAGTCTCCGCTCCGGAGCGAGGGCGGCGGCTTTGCCTTCAATCGTCCACCTGTATCTCCTCGTCCGACAGGCGGGGCCCGGAGTCCGGCCGCGCCGGGCCCAGGCCGAGGCCAAGACTGAGACCGCGGGCGCTGTCTGGCAGCGCGAGGCGGCCCTGGACTTCGGGGTTCAACGCGCGCAGCGAGGCCACATCGGCGCGCATCTCCTCCACGTCGCGCCTGAGCTTGGCGCGCCGGTTCTGGAACCACGTGACGACCTGCGCGTTGGCCAGGCCGAGCCTCGCCGCCAGCCCGTCCCGCTCGGGGGGCGCCAGGTACCTCTGCAACCCGAAGCGCCGCTCCAGCTCCAGCACCTGCTGCGCCGTGAACGCCGTGCGGGACTTGCGCCGTCTGCGGCCCGCGGGGCCGTGGCCCAGAGCGCCTGGGGCCGCGCGGCCTGCGGAGATGGGGTGGGGGTCAGTCTCCAGGCTGCGGGAATGGGCTTCCGTCCTGGGGGGAAACCCCGCAGCTACCAGAGTTCCAGGGTGGGGGTGAAGGTGCGGGAGGTCACCGCGGTCGCTCAGTGAAATGCGCGAGGGGCAGGCCGAGGAGGGGGTGGGGGCACGAAGTGGAACCAGCCACGGGGATGCGGGAGGCAGCAGGCTGAGGGCATCCGGCGAGAGGAGAGGGAGGAAGGCGGGCCCGGCCAGGGGAGGCAAGCTGCAGGGTCAGGACGTCCGGCGCGGGGCCGTGGAGGCCTCCCGGAGGCTCCGATGGAGCCGGCTTGCAGGTTGGGGCCGGCACCAGAGGTGGTGAGTGTAACAGGACCCCGATCGGGCCCTTCTCTAGACTTGGGGGTCGTGTCGGGCACTCTCTCTTAGTGACATGCTCTCCCTCCTGCCCTCCCACCCCACTCCCACCCCCCCACCCCTAGCACAGAAGGGAGGTAGTGGGTGTATAGAGGGCAAGGAAAGGCGGAGTTCGAGCCCGGGGCCCTGGCGGCGCCCTCCCGGGAAGAGACGGACTCGGGGCGGAGCGTGATTACCCGGGGAGCCCGAGCCTCGCCTCCCAGCACCTTCTACGCCCGCCTCGCCCTAGCTCACTGTTTTACAGCCTCCGGCTCAGGCCTTTTGTCTCCTCTCCCCGGCCTTTCTGTTGCGACTGCCCCGCCTACAGCGAAAGGACTAATGGGTCGCTCAGTTCTAGACCGCCCGGCCCTTCCCCTCGGCGCCGGCAGCCGGGGAGCCTGGGAACCAACAGAGGGGAGGTGAGCAGCGGGAGGTGCAGGCCCCCCGCACGTGGGCTGAGGGCAGGGGGCAGATTGGGGTGGCGGCCGGGATGCACAAAGTGGGGCCCGGGACCTTGGAGGAGAGAGATGGGGAGAAGGCCAAGTCCCAGGGCGCGACCTGGCCGCGCGGTACCTTCGGAGCGCTGCAGGGCGAGCCCGTCTAGTCCGCGGAAAGCGTTGCTCGTCAGCTCCTCCAGCGCGCATAGCGGCGACGTGGGACCTGGGCTGGACTCTGGAAGCTGCGGCGCAGAGGGTCCTCGAGGGGCCATGCCAGGGCCTAGGATATCCGCGATGCTGAAGGGTGTGCGGGCTGTCCGGGGCTCGGGGCCCGAGCTCATGGCCGGCCGGGCGGGCTGCGGCCGTCCTGCCGCCCGCTGTGCTCGGCTCCGCAGCCGCCTGGGCCCCAGCGCGCGGTTCCCGATCTGGGCCCCCGCCTCGGACCCGCCCCCCACGCTGGGCCCGAGCCCCGAGTGCCCCTCCTCCTGCGCCCCCACTCCCTAACCCCTGGCCGCCGTGGGTCTGGAGCCGGTAGACGTCCCGGCAGCGGTATTTCTTCTGCAGGCTACGGGGGCGCGCAGAGAAGCCGGCGAAGTCACTGGCCCCCTGGCTGCTCCGCGCTGCCAGCGCGGCCCTGTGCTCACTCTGGCTGGACTCTTCCTGGGCCGCCCCCTCCCGCCTAGCCGCCGCTCCAGCTCATAAACTCTCGTAGGCAATAAAATTGCTTTCCCTGGTCGCAGAGCCGGAGATTTGCAAAATTCCGAGGAGCTCAGAATTGACTGTGCTAAGATCCCCATCCCACCTAGGAAGGACCTCAGTCTCCTGACCTGGCTCCCTCCTCCCCGCCCCACTCCTGCTGAAAGCTCTTAAAGAAGGTCCCCGCGGCTGGAAGTTATTAGCGGGCACTGGGCCTGGGGGCACTCAAGCCCGGCAGAGCGACTGCAACTGGGTATAGTGGGGATGCGACACACAAGCCGGCGCAGGTGAGTGGACTCCAGCCGGCTCTGCGGCCGGACCCAAGGCTGCCCCAGCAGGGCTCAGAGGCCCTCTGAAATCAATTAAAAAAGCAGAACAAAACATGGAGAAGCGGGGAGACCTGGCCCTCAGGAGAGAAGACACAGCAAACCCAGAGCGAGGGTTATTGCTCAGGAGGGGTCTTTGCCAGGAAAGACTGACCTCCACAGAGGGCCTTCTGGTTACCCCTGAGTCTATCAGTTGATGCCTTTGTCTCCTCATTAAGCTCCTGTAGTCCCAGTTGGGGTTCCCCAGCCTGGGAGCAGTGGTGAGAGGGGTCCCTATAGAGGAGTGACTCGATACATCCAACCAGATTCTGGGACAGAAACCCGGCCAAGCCAGGGACAAACTCTAAGGACTGGGATAGTCATTCCTATTTTATCTGCATCCTAGGTGTCATTCGCTCTTCCCTCTCCCGGCTCACCTACCCCAGGGCTCACACCTCCACTGCCCTCTGTTGTAGGAATAAGGCAGTTCTGGGACAGCTGCTCCACCAGCGGAGCCCAACAAGACAAGGCTTTTGTTCGCATATCACATCCCAAATAGCCGGTGGGTTTACAGCCGAGACAAGCCCCACCACTCCTGCGGAACTCTGCACTCTGAAGGAACTCTCTGCTATGGGTTTCTTCTAGTTTTTTCCTATCAGTGCCATGAAGAAGTAGGCCGGTCTCTCCTGGACTGTCCATTCTGTCACCTTCTCTGTAAACCTCTGCACCTCCCACATCTGTGCAGTGATCTTCTGGGTCTCCCGGTCTATTCCCTGGGGCAAGCGGAGCCTGTGGTTGGGGTGCCCCAATCAGAGCTTGGGAGATCTGAGGCATGTGGGCCAAAGACTCCTTGACAAAGACAGGAAGACACTTTGATCACAGTGGGGGGGCGAGGGAGGGTATAAGAAACCTCACAGTGTGATACTGACCTCGACACCCAACAGAAGTAGACAAACACAGAGTCTTCTTATAAAGGCTCCCTTCAATGACCATCCCTTCCCCCCATACCCACAGATACTCACAGTGCTCTGATGGCAGCCTGAGCAACACAGCCCAATGGGTCAGAGAGCATAGCCAGGCCACAGCAGAAAGCTGAGATGCGTCAGGACCTTGTTAATTGGTTATTAATGGTGGGGGGCAGACGAGGGTCAGGAGAGATCCTCCTAGCTGGAAGCTTTAGCCCTCTGAACCATCCTGGTGGTTTCACTTAATATGAAATTAAAGAGGGTCCCAGGAGGATGCAGGAACTGGCTAGCTCTTGTACCAGGCCAGTCACCAGACACTACAACTTTCACTCATGTATCATCTGTGTTGCATTTGTCATCTTTTGCTCTCAGTATCTAGTGTGTGTCTGTGGGGAGTGTGGGGCTCTCCTAAAGGGCCCTGGCCTTCCTCCCCTGCCATCTCTCCTGCCTACCTTCTCTGCTATGCTAACTGGGCTCTGGTAATGGGGTTGGACAATGGGGTGAGGGGCAATCCCCAGATGTGCATTTGTGGGAGGAGAGGGAAGGAGAGACTAGTAATGGGAGGAGGCTGCTGACAGCAGAGCCCAACTAAGGTCTCCCCAGCAGCCAGCGACTTGTCCAGCCTATTGTGGGGCCACAGGAGGGGACTTTTCCCAGCGAAGCCTCTGGAACCTGAGCTGGGGAGAAACCGGATCCTCTGGTCCTCGGAGGGGGTAGGAGGAGGGTGAGTGATTAATGAGGAAGATTAAAAGATTGAACCTGGGTTCTAGGCTTGGGGGGCACTCAGTTGACTCGACTTCCCCCACTCCAGTTTGCAGGGGCTGACAGGTCCCAGTGCTCCCTGATGTGAGCCTCTTCCTCCCCCCTCCCATGATCCAACCCTCCCTGCCTTGGGTCCTTCCTAGAGCTATCCACAGACATAATCATTCACCACTGCCCACCCCCAACCCCTACCAGGACGACAGTTTTCCTCTCCCAGCATTCTCAAGCAATCCCTCACGTCTCACTCAGATTCCCCTCATTGTTCTGTTCAGAAACTTCAGGGTCTTCCACTCCCTCCCCTCATAGAGATCTCCACATGACGACGTTCACTCCGTCAGGAAGGTGCCTCAATTCTCTCTTAAAATAATATGTTGCCCTAGCAGGTTTGGCTCAGTGGATAGAGCATCGGCCTGCGGACTGGGGGTCCTGGGTTCAATTCCGGCCAGGGCACATGCCCGGGTTGTGGGCTCGATCCCCACTAGGGGGCGTGCAGGAGGCAGCCAATCAATGATTCTCATCATTGATGTTTCTATCTCTCCCTCTTCCTTCCTCTCTGAAATCAATAAATATATTTTTAAATAAAAAATATGTTTTTATTGATTTAGAGAGAGAGGAAGGGAGAAGAATAGAGAGATAGAAACATTGATCTGCTGCTTCCTACATACCCACCACTGGGGATCAAGCACGCAACCAGGCACGTGCCCTAACCTGACCAGAATTGAACCTGTGACCTCTTGGCTCATGGGTTGACACTCAACCACTGAGCCAAACCGGCTGGGCTAAATTCCCTCTTTTTAAAAACATTTTTTATTTATTTCAGAGAGGGAGAGGGAGAGAAAACATCAAGGATGAGAGAGAATCATTGATAGGCTGCCTCCTGCACGCCCCCTACTGGGGATCAAGCCCACAACCTGGGCATGTGCCCTTGGTGGAAATCAAACCCGGGACCCTTCAGTCCGCAGGCTAACGGAGCCAAACCAGGTAGGGCTCAATTCCCACTTAATACTTTCTCTCACCTCCCATCAGGCCCTTTCAGATTTCCATTTCCTCATCTCTGCACCTTATCTCCAACCTTATTCCCCTTCCTCATCACCCCCACCTTTTCTCTCATTCCAAGACACCGCGCCTCTCACTCACCCAACCATCCGCAGCCTCTCATCTGGTGAGTCCCTTCAACCTCACCCAGGCCTGCCCCAGATTGACCCCTCTTCTTGGTACAGAAATCTGCTCAATAAACTACCTTTAGTCTTCAGATGTTGCACCCTAGGCAATCCTCTGAATTTTGTGAGTGTGTGTGGGGGAGGTATTGGGGGAATCCTCAGAATAACTCCCGTGGGGCGGTGCAAAGGACAGTCTGGGAGATATGCCCCCCCCCTCCCACTTTGCCCCAATACCTTTAGCCAGCATGAGAGGTAAGTGGGAGTTCATGGGGGAAACTCCAAGCAGAGGAGCTTGGCGCGGGCATCCATCCATCTCGCACACTTCTGGGATTTTCTCTTGCCGAGAACATTACTGCAGAGTGAACGGATTTGGATCCTGAAGTTTCAGTTTCGTTATTTTTAGGACTCGGGTTTGTAAGTTCTTCCAGCCCTTTACACTGGTTCACACAGAGCTCTGCTTAACCTCTGCCAGCCCGGGGTGTGCGGGCCGGGATGGGGAGCTGCGGAATACTCAGATGCCTCCGGCCTCTGCACACACTTACACCCTGGGACTCAGGGTCCCAGGGAAGTCAGTCCCTTGTCCCTATATCCTCTCCCAGCCTTCCCCCCTCCCCCAAGTCTTGGGAGAAACAGGCCGGGCTGAGAGGGACGGGTCCCCCCCTCTCTGTGCCAAAGGCTGGGGCGAATCTCAGCGTCCCTTCTCCCAGGCGGAGGCCGCTGGGTGAGATAGGGCGACCGCAGAGGCACAGGCGGCAGAGGCACAGGCGGGCGAGGGCCTGCGGTGAGGACTGACATGGACTCCGGGAGGGGGCCGGTGAGCGCGGGGTGTCAGAGCCCAAGAGAACCGCGGGCAGGATCCATCCGCCCTGGCCCCTGGCGCAGATCCAGAACCAAGTGACCCAGGGGTAGGGTCTGCTGCGTGGAGCAGGCCAGAGAGCAGGGGAAGGAGCCCATAGAAGGGAGAGAGATGCGGAGCCCGCAGCTGGCCTGCGTCAGCAACCTGGGGAAGGTGGCGCTGCACAGCCGCCGACAGACAGAAATCAGGCTGCCTGGAGCTGGGGGTGAGGCGGGGCAGCTGCTCCCCCAGATCCTGCCCGAATGCCCCCGGTTGCTCCTGGGCCCCAAGCCAGGTGTCATCAAAGGCCTCACCCCCAGGTTTGGTCTTCAGGCCTGGGGGTCTCAGGCAGCCTCTCTTTTAGCTGGCCATTCTTTTTGTTTATTTTTGTTAATCGTCACCTGAGGATATTTTTTTCCATTGTTTTTCAGAGTGGAAGGGATGGAGGGGGAAGAGAAACGTCCTGTGAGAGACACCCTTGACTGGTTGCTTCCCCCACGCACCAACACGGGAGGCAGAACAGGAATGAACCTGCAACCCAGGGACATGCCCTTGGCAGGGAATCGAACCATGACCCTCTGGTGCACCAGTGGCCACTCTAACCACTGAACCACCAGCCAGGGCTAGATGGGCATTCCTGACCCAAGCCAAGCTCCAATCAGACACTCCCCAATTCCTGCAGCTGCTTGAGCTGCCCAAGTCCCCAGGGGTGTCTATCTTTCCCCCTAGCCCACACCTCTCCCTCCAGTCACTCCTCAGAACCACCCTTTCACACACACACACACTGCAAGTTTCTGGCTACCCCAGTTAGAGACCCACAGAACAGGAGTGCTGGCTGGGTTTATTTCCAGAGTGCAGTGCTCATGGCCAGGCTGGCACAGACCAGGAGGTTGCTGACTTACTCAGTGGAGTGCTAGCCTTGCTGCTCCCCTCTTGTTCCTTGGAGCTGCATTTGCCCTCCCGGGCACCAGCTCCCTCTCCCCCTCAATTCCTCTCTCTACAAGCTGGCCTCCCCTCGCCCAGGTACCTGAAGGCCTGCGGAAGCTTGTCTAGACAGCCATGTCTCCAACTCGATCCCTGTGAGTGTCCCATGCCCCCATTTTTTTTAGCCTACTCCAATTATGCACATCTTTGGACTTTTCTTTATAATATCACTCTTCTCCTGTCCTGCAGTGACCACTGTCCAACCCAAGCCCTACTCTCACCACTCTTGCATTAGGACACTCAGGCCTTTGCCACATGTTGCAACATTCAAGGACAGAGAGAGCTCCCCTCCAGAAAAACTTCCCTTCACCAAAACAACTGGTGTGGGGGCCTGACTTCACTCAGCTCACCTCGGTTTTACGTAAGTAGGGTCCTCTACCCTTCTCCTATGGTCATTTGCTGAGGGTCATCCTTCTTGATGACACTCAGAGGATTTCTGAGGGAAGCAGGACACAGGACAAAGTATGAGTGTGTGGTAGGGATAAGAAGGAAGAAGAGAGGTGCTTTTTAAAAGTTTTTATTTCAAAAAATAAAGCCACAATTTCACATAAATATCTGGGGAGGGACGGGGAGAGGGGTAGGGCAGGGGCTTGGCCCCTACCTCCTCTTCTCTTTCACACTGTACTGTAAAAGCAAAGGGGCTGGCTAAGGGGAGAACAAGGGGAAGAAGTCGTCAGGGGAGAGTTCCTGCGAAAAAGGCCCCCTCAGCCCACCCCTGCCCTGGAACTGCCTTGGACCTGGCTCACCTTGCCGAACCATCGGGAGAGCCAGATCTGTTTCATGGTCATGTGATCAGGGAGAACTTCATTGTCAAAAAGCAGCTGCACCTAGCAGGGAGGTGGGAGCACTGTGTTAGGAACTCTCCTTCCGCACCATCAAGAACTCACCCGGTCCCCTCTCAACTCTCCCTCCCCTGTGGCCCCTTCTCCTCCCAAAGAAACCTACTGTGGGACACTCACATGCTGGGGATTTAGCATCAAGCGGTGACAGAGGACCCTCCGGAGATGACGAACCTCAGCTCTAACAGAACACCGGACATATTTGTTCTGAGGGTGGGCAGGGAAAGGAAGACAAGGTGTGTGAGAGAAGGGCCCCGAGGAGGTGAGTCTCCTGAGAGGCCCTCCCACAGCCCCTCTCACCTGCAAGACGCTTTTATTCTTGTCTTTGCCAGAACTGGGGGAAAACAGACACAGGTTAGGGAGCACTATCATCCCCTCCCCCGCATCCCCGCCCAGAGCCATGACATTATCTCTTCAAGGGAATAGACATTCGCTTAGCTTACTGCGAGCCCTCTCCCTGAGCCCCTCCCTGACTCTGGCTCATTGACACTCTCACTTCAGACAGCCCAGGACCTGCCTCTCACCTCAGCCGCTCCAGGCACAGGCTCAGCTGCTCATCATAGCGATAGTAGTGGGCTTTCGAATGGTCAAAGCTGCAGAAGGGGAGGCCGAGGTTGCTCAGGGCTGGCTCTGAGAAAGACAGAATAGTGAGGCGGGCAGCACAGATTCCACACTCCTCTTCCCCCAGAGAGCAAAACCGGGCAGGAGGAATGCTCTGGGGGCTTTGCCTTACCCTCCTGCTGCCAAGGGACATACCTTCCCCACCGGGCTGCGTGACTCGGTCCAAGCCTCGGGACTGGTAGAATTCTCGAATTCGTTTCTCTTCACCTGGAAGGGAGTGGAGTATGGGAGTCAAGTCTTAACTGTCCCTCTGGCTGTCAACCTCTTTACCTACACGATGCCCACCAAAGCCCTCGTCACCGCAAGCTGCTACGCAGCATCCGTCCTCTAGAAGCCCCTCAGAGTCAGGTTAGTCACTCACTGTCTTGCAAGCCAGGCACCAGCTTGTACACGATGTCCTGCATGACCCGGTCCAGTTTGAGGTTGAGCAGTGGCTGTGTCTCGTGGATCTTGATGTTGCACATGGGGCAGTACTTGCTGGTTTGGAGGTACTTCACAATACAACTCTTGCAGACTGGAGGAAAAGGAAAACAGACTCTCAGCCCTCAGGGAATCAGGTTCTCGGGCTGGACGGGGTGCCTGGGTGGTTGGGGCAGGCGGTGCAGAGGCTACCAGCCAGCTGGGTGGGAACCAGGGCCTGGAAGAACCAGCCAGGGTCCAGGGAACTCACAAGTATGGAGACACTCTGTGATGGTGGTGGCATCCACGAAGTAGCCAGCGCATAGGCAGCAGACGATGTGTTCATTCAAATCTTTGATCTTTACTCGGACCTCCTCCTGCGGACACACCCTCCGTCACCGATCACCCTTCCCAATCCCAACCCCGGTGCCTTCCCAGCCTGGGAGTCGCCTCTTTCATCACATCTCACAGCCAAACCCCGCACCTTGCATGGTCACAAGGGCTTAGCTCCCGGGGGCTGACACTACCCCTCGCCCAGCAGAGGTCTCCGCGCATAGCGGGGGCTCCCTTCACGTGGACTGGCCCGATCTTCCTTTCCCAGGGGAGACCATACCACGACGGCGGCACAACACGCAGGCGTCTTAGCCCAGAGTTTGGCAACTCGGACCACAATCGCGCAGGCGCACTGTGCCCCCCGCCTCTGCGCAGGCGCACTGGGCGCCCGGCCGGTCCCGGCCTGTCCTCTAGTCGGCCCCAGTCAGCCCCGCTAGCTGACCACAGCAGTAACCCTGCCGCCCCTGCACCTCGTTCCGTAGCGGGTCCATCTTGTACACTGACTGGAGCTGGTTCCGAAGCCTCATCGCGATCGCAATCTGGCCCCCCTGAGGAGACGCCATCTTAAAGGCTGATCCTGGCCTGCCACTTCCGGTGCCGCCTGCAGGGCGGGACTTGTCGCCGAGCAACGAGGGCTTAGGTCTTTTCGGATTCGCTGACTCTCCGTAAGGCCCCACCCACGTCCTTTCTCCCCCGTGTGCTCACCTGAGCCCCAGTGGCCCCTCCCCCTCCGCAGTTGGTAATTGGGGAGCGGGGGGGTGTGGGGAGGGGCCGATCTCATTGACCCCCTGCAGTAATAATCATCGAAGACCCGACCGGACCTCGGGACGAACTTTTGGGGCCTGCAGAAGCCTGCCTCCTCCTTCCCCCGACCCGCCACCGCTCAGGGTCGCCCAGCTCTGGTGACAACCAGGCTAAAGCCCCTCCCGCGCTCTCCGTGTTATGTCGCCCTCGTCGGCCGACGCTAGACAATGCGGAGCTACATCCGACGGTGGGCCTTCTCCCGGCTCCAGGGCGGGAGTTTCTCGGGGCTTCGCGGAGCCTCGGGGAGGGCGACGGGAGGAGGAACCCCTAGAGACTTGGTAGTGATCTTACATCCCCCCCCTCGCCGCCCTCCCCTGCCGCCGGGAGGAGGGGGGCAGGCCCTCGTTAATGATGATGATTCAATCACCGGCGCCTGCGGAGGCCTGGGACAGACTAATGCAGAGCAGATGCCGAAGGAGGAGGGGAGGACGACTAGGACACGGCCGCACGCCGACGCGCCCCGGCGGCGGTCCCTGCAGGAGCAGAAGCTCAGCTCGGTGTTTGGGGGAGACGCAGGGGTCCCGAAAGCTTGCGCGCCGCTGTCCCCAGGTGCCTCCGGTAGCACTAAAACCAAGTGTCAGTTTACTGTGAAGTATTAGCACCAAGTGCAGTTGGAGATGAAAGAAGGGGGGATCCCAGTGCAGCCCTCGAAAGGCATGCTGAAGGAGGTGGGGCTTGGTGTGGGCACAGTTTAGAGCTGGGGTGCGGAAGAAGTGTGGTGGGAATAGAAGAGGAAGGCTGCGCGGAGGGGAGGGGCCGAGAGGGGCAGGGAGGAGGCCGAGGGGTGCATTTGAGAGCAGCGGTAGAAGCAGCAGGACTGGACGGAGCTGGGACTTTGAGCCTGTGGGCCATGGAGAGCCAGCTGACTCTTTTGCAGAGGGAGGTGACCCTATGAGAGAAACATTTTTGTGCATTGATGTTCAGAGTGAACTGGAGTGGATAAGCGACAAGAAGTTTTGGGAGTGGTGATGCTTTAATCACCATGGCTTACCTCGTTGGTCCAAGATGCCATCATCTGTCCTCTGGATGAGTACTGGTTTTTTTGCCCGCTTTTCTTGCCTCCACCGTTGCCCCTCTTTCAGCAATTTTCAATACAGCAGCTCAGGGTAATTCTGGTAAAATATGAATAAAAAAGGATATAAGGAAAAAAATTTGAGTTGATGGGTATGTTTATTATCTTGTTTGTGTTGGTGGTTTCATGGGTGTATGCATACGTCAAAACTTATCACATTGTACACTTTATTTTTTTCACATTGTACCCTTTAAATATGTGCAGTGTATTGTATGTCAGGTTTACCTTAAGAAAGCTGTTAAAAATAAAATTTAAAAATGGGTGCCTTACTTATTTGTTTATAAACTTCCAATAGCTTCCCTTTATTAAAAAAACATATTTTCACCTGGGACCTGGGCATGCACCTTTGACCAGAATCCAACCAGGGGCCCTACAGTCCGCAGGCCAACGCTCTCTCCACTGAGCCAAACCACTGGGGCAGCTTCCCTTTTTAATGAGAATAAAAGGCACAGTCCTTACAGTGGCCTGCAAGGCTCTGTCTGCATGGTCTCGCAGTCACTCAGTCTCTCTGGCCACACTGATCCCTCACTGTTCCACAGACACACAGAATGTACTCCCACACTGTCACCAACTGGAAATGTTCAGATGCACAAATGGTACCTTTCTTCCTTCAGGTCTTTACTCCACAACGCCTTTTATTATTATTATTATTATTATTATTATTATTATTATTGATTTCAGAGAGGAAGGGAGAAGGAGAGAAACATCAATGATGAGAGAGAGAATCATTGATCAGCTGCCTCCTGCAGGTCCCCTACTGTGAGCAGAGCCCCCCAATGCAACCTGGGCATGAGCCCTGACCTCCTGGTTCATAAGTTGATGTTCAACCACTGAGCCACACCAGCCTGGCACTCAACAAGGCCTTTTTGATTATTCTAGATAAATCATAGCTCCCTACCCTTTTACTTCTTCTCCCCCTTCCTTGCTTTATTTTTTTCTTTTTAGCAATTATTATTATTTAATGTATTGTATATTTTTCTTGTTTTACACCTGCCTCCCCCACTAAATATAAGCTTCTCAGTGGCATAGACTGTTTTCCCCTGTTGTATTTATACATCTATATCTCCAGTGCCAGGTACAGAGGACTAACAGTGCCATGTTCAATGAAAAATTTCTGGATGGCCCTAGCTGGTTTGGCTCAGGGGATAGAGTGTTGGCCTGCAGACCAAAGGGTCCTGAGTTCGATTCCAGTCAGGGTTTGATTCCAGTCAAGGGCATGTACCATGGCTGCAGGCTCCTTCCTGGCCTGGGTCCTGGTCAGGGCTCTTGCAGGAGGCAACCAATCGATGTTTCTCTCTGTCTTTCCCTCTCTCTAAAAATCAATGGATAATATCCTTGGATGAGGATTAAAAACGTTTATTTTCTGGATGAATGAATGAATGAATGTAGGTAGTCCTGATGATGGCCTAGATTAGGCTTTTATCAGTGGGAATGGAAAGGAAGGGCTGTATATGAATTTCAAAGGAAAGCACAATAGGAGGGAGTAAGGAGCTTGGGCGGAGAGCCTGTCTTCCAGCCTGGTGGACTTAAGGTGGCTGCAGCAAAGGCAGGTGCAGTTGGCCAGAAGGCTGAAATGGTGGGGCTGGAGCACCACTGTCAGAACCAGGGATGAAGGTCTCAGAGTTTTCTGGGTGGATGTAGTAGATGGAGCTATTGAAATGGATGAAACCTGAGCAGATGGAGACAGAGAGAAAACTGAAGTCTGGACTCTAAAGAATGCTCACAGTCGAAAGTGGAAGAAGAAAAGTCAGTGGAGGAAAAAAACATAAGCAGTCACTATGCAAGTCCAGAGATGTAGAATGAGACAGTATTATATAAGGAAACCAAAAAGGGACATTTCAAAAAATAGTTGGTGATCAATGAAGGAAAACATGTCCAAGATTTCTGGATAATGGACACTGGATACTGACGCTTCCTGAGCAGGTCGGTGTAGTGAAGCCAGCTTGCAGTGGGTTAAAAGAATAAATAATGAGGAAATGGAGGCAGTGGGTGTGGGCACGAAAAGAAAACAATCTTCCATGAAGAGTCAGGCAAAGACTTTGCCTAGATAACAGCGATCTAAGACAGTTGGGGTAGGAAGAGCTAAGTTAATGAAAGAAATGATGACACAGGAGTGGGGGGACCATCTCAAGGGAAGGCTACTATACCAATAGCAGGAAGGAAGGGAAGGCACAGAAGCACAGGCTGGGCACGTGGCCTCTTCTTGTGAAGGTACAGGCTTGAAAACTTGAAGAGTTGGGGGCCACATGCATGTAGAATATGGCGAGATGAACCCAAAGCAGTGTGTATGGGAGGTGGAGGTACTGACCACAGAGTCTCCATCTTCAACCTAACCTAGCAGGAACCACCCTTCTGAGAGAACCAGGGAATCCGCAAAGTGAAGGCAAGCAGAGGAATTCCTAGGACTGTGGCTGACAGACTGAAAGCCCTTGTTCTTGAAGTGGGGCACTGGAAAAAAGTTTTAACTCCGTAGAAGATGTGTATGTACTACTGGTTTATGGCCATTCTCCTCAAAGGATCAGTTAGGCCATCTCTGGGTGGCAGTGCCATCTGTGCTGACCTTAAAAGGCAGGATGTAGAGTAAGCAGGTATACAGGTCTGTACCTATGCTGACTTTTTCTTCTTCATTGATTCACTCGTTGATGCATTCCATTGATGCATTTATTCAGCTTGTTTGGAGATACACTAGTGCCACACTCTTCTCAGAGGCCCACCCCCTAGAGTGGAAAAGGGACTGGCAAACTCCTAACCTGCAGGTCAGTCCCCCTCAGAGGCTTTATTTATGTATTTTAAAATTTTTTATTTATTGATTTTAGAGGAAGAGAGAAAAGGAAAAGGAGAGTAGGAAGGAGAGAGGAAGGGAAGAAAGGAGGGAGGAGTGGAGGGAGGCAGGGAGGGAGGGAGGGAGGGGGAGAGAGAGAGAGAGAGAGAGAGAGAGAGAGAGAGAATGAATGAGAATCTAACCAACTGAGCTACCCAGCCAGGGCCAAAGGCTTATTTAGTTTGCTGCCTCCTTAGCCTCTCTGTTCACATCTGGGGGGATCAGCCACGCTATTTCAGAAGGTTTTGCCTGAATAGCAGGTTTCACGTGCCCTAGTAGCCCCATCCCTCTATTGTTGAAAAGGTTGCTTGTGCTTTTGTGAAAGGCTAGGGGAGGTGATGTCTGTCTTTTTCACCAAGATTAAGAACACACCTGCCAAATTTGCAGACCCCCCCCCCCAGCCCCCTTTCAGAAGAGGTGGTTGACAGGGTGGGGTAAGGGCTGGAAGAATTGGATGATGGGTGTGAACAAGGTTGGGAAAGAATGTTAGTATTTTTTTTTAAAATATATTTTATTGATTTTCTACAGAGAGGAAGGGAGAGAGATAGAGAGTGAGAAACATCGATGAAAGAGAAACATCGATCAGCTGCCTCCTGCACATCTCCCACCAGGGATGCGCCCGCAACCCAGGCACATGCCCCCGACCGGAATCGAACCCAGGACCCCTCAGTCCGCAGGCCGACGCTCCATCCACTGAGCCAAACCGGCCTTGGCAGAATGTTAGTATTAATGCCCACTGCTCCCTCCCCCAGCCTTCAAACTGAGGCTTCTGAGAACAGAGGGGCTGGTGGCTTTGGTGGGGAGAGAGCCCACTCCCTTTTTCTCTTCTTTATTTTCCTGCCCAGATGCCCAAATACCATTTCTCCGTTCCCTAGAGAGAAAGGACCCATCACCTTGCCCCAGGCACCAGTCTGCCAGCCCATCTGCTGGGGAGAAAGAAGGGGCAGCGCCTTTCCCAGAAGATCCCGAAGAAGCAACTGGAAGATTCCACGCTCCTAGGGAGACCCATTCACTAGGCTTAGAAGGAGAAGGCACGCTGGCTCCCATGGAGCACCAGGCAGCCTGGAACCGGGCACGGAGTGGGCTGGGGTCGAGGAGCTGGGTTGGCACATCGGGGTGGGGCCCTTTGGCCACCACGTGTCCGAGGCGGGCCAAGCTGCTCGTCGGTGCCAACCCGCCCGCGGGATGTGAAGAAGCCCCCCCACCCCCCTGCGCCCAGTCTCACCGGCTTGGAGGCGCCAGGGCCCCCCCGGGGCCGGGCCGGGCGGGGGAAGGTAATGTAATTCCGACCCAGCTAACCCGATTATGGCGGCCTGCACCGGGCCGGGTGGCGGCAGGGGCGGGTCTACGGCGCAGGGGCCCGCCCGGCCAGGGGTCCCATCCTGGGGAAGGACGCCGAGTTCACGCACTCCCAGCTCCTGGGTCCCGGGCCAGAGGTCATGAGGTCACCAAACCGCTTTGGTCTTTGCCCACCTCGCTTCTCTGACGCGCTCCAGGCACAGTGTCCTGCGCTTGGGTAGGTGGAGCGTCCATGGGAAATGAGGCGGCTGGTCCTCTGAAGGCTTCAGTGTCTCCCGTGGAGATTTCGTCCTCCCGCCGGGGGGTGGGGTGGGAGAGTGTGAGACGAGACTTCCTAG